CCCCCTTTTGCAATTCTCTGCTCGTAGGTACTAGGCAGCTGTCCTGAGCTGAACATTTGCTTCATGGTAACAAGGGCCGGCCCCCAGAAATTTCCTCATATCTTTTTAAGTAGCCTGCCAAGGGGCAGCCTGATCCAAGCAATCTAATATGGCTTAAGTGCCACTGGTTGACACTTTGACATCTTTTATTGCTTTTCATTTTTATCTACATAGGAAATTGGTGATACCTAATATACAGTTGATTCTTCCATTCTGGTAATAAAATGATAATACGAAGATATTATTATCCACTCCAGACATTCATCATAGTACATTTCCCAAAAACGTACTACTCAGGGTGTTTCTTCATGACATGCAAGTCAGAAGTGAGGTTAAGTACTTGGCCTTAGATTCCTTTCTCCTCCAATACTTAGACACAGAACTGAAAATCAAAGGAGTTGAATGTCAACCCTTGACACTGTCCACATTAATGTCATCTGCAATTTTATTGTCTCTGCATCTCAGATAAACCATTTTCTGTAACAGGCCAAAAAATAGTTGAAAGGTCAGCCAAATAAAATATTTTTTTTCAAATCCAGAGAGTTTTTATTCTTGTAAGAAAACAGGGGGGAAGAGAACAGGAGCAAACAGCACTGGAAATGCAGAAGTAGGAAGAGGAAATCGTGGTCGGAAGAAGGGCAGGAGAGCAGAAAAAGAGACACATGTAAAGGCATAAAGAAACCAAAACAATGCAAACAAGCATTCGAGACCATAAGTTTATTAAAATTCATTTTCATACGGATGCAGAGGTGGCTGCATGCCTTCTGGTGGACAATAAGTACATTCTGTAAATTGTTATTGACTTGAAAAGACAAAACAAACAAACAGACAAAAAAAACACTAATGAAACAAAACCTTGCAGCCACTACATACTTAAAGTTGTTATTTATAGGACAATTAGGACTCACCTATAGTTGATAGGAGCAAGTTTAGTTTTCAAATTTTCATTATATTTAAACCTTCAAAGATTATAGCACTAACAACTTTAAAAGTTACTAGAAGAAGAGAGAGAAAAAAATTCGAACTATAATGAAGCATGCAATATACCACTATAAAGCCCAAATTTTCAGAAAAAAATAAATAAATAAATAAACACAGCCTAATGACTTTAGGTTTAGTGTTGGGAAATTTGGGGCATCATACTGAGACTGTCTTGGTCATGCTATCTCAGAGTGACCAAGACATCAGCCTATGTACTTTGGCAGACAGAAAGAATGCAGAATAAGACCAATGGTTAGTACAGATCCTATTTATAATGCATTTGAAAAAATTTTACAAGGAGTAGAACATTTTTTTTTGCATTGTTTATATTCTTTAAAGGAATTCTTAAAGCAATTACTGTTATGAAGTAGGCAACAGACTATCAAACACTCACCTTTTCATGCGAATAACCATGTGTTAGTCACAAAGTACTATTCACTCTGACTTGGATTTACTTGGTAATAATTTATGAATAAACAGTTTGTGTTCTAGAACAAAGATTTTATGCAAAATAGTCTACCACATGTCTTTTCTTGTTAATTCAAGTAATTTTTCCTCTTTATGTTAAAAGCATGTGACTTTACTTGTAGTCCTTTTCTATCTACCTTTATTGACATACCCTTCACTGTCCAGGGAAGAAATTATCTACATTAAAAGATGGTAGTTCTTTTAGCAATTTACATATAAATTGACTTTATTATGGCAGACTGTTGTTCTCAATATTGGAGTTGATTATGGAAGCAAAAACAATCTGAGTATCCCTTTATTCTTATCCTGGACAGAGGAGAATGGAGAACCCTAGATAACTCACCTCTCTGCTCCCCTCCCAGACCACAAATCCGAAAACACTGACCTTAATCTAATTCCAGTTTGCAGATAACAAATATATTCTAGCTATGAGATAAGCTAATGGGCATCAAAGAATTGAGATTGGTCTGGGGTTGTGTGGAGAGAAATTCGGTTTGTAATCTGAAAGATCAAAGTATGTGTTTTGACAGTGAAATGACCACTATGCCTAGAGATGGTTTTTTGTTTGTTTGTTTGTTTGTTTTTAAATACCTGCTTCACACATGAAAAATAAGCTTTTGATTTTTAAATGAAAACATTTAAAAATTCTTGACAACTTTTCCTATTAGGAGGGAAATCTTGACAACAAAGAATCTGACAGAGCTGGTCTTTGGGATTAAAATCTACCCTTTCTCTAAAGAACCTTAACAAAGGGCTGTGCCTTAGCCTGTCCATGGAAGATTCTATCGTTGCATCTAAACTACAGGCACAGGAATGGCTGAAAAAGAAACATACCCGCCATCTCTTATTGTCTCACAGGTCTTAATACATACAGCCAGAACTTCTTCCCCCTTTCACCTACTACCTATTCTTCAATAGCAAAGATTAAACAGTCTGATACTATGTATCATTTCTTTTGCAGATCAAGTAACATCTGCTGTAAACTGGGGGGCTCGGTGGGGGTAGGGTGGAGATGAGGAAGGATGTCACCACTATAGGCAACAGAGCAATTCTGAGAAAGTATAGAGAAATTTGGGAAGGTTTTCATTAAAACTTATCAATTAAAGTTTGATATTAATTCTGAATGCAAGATAATTTTTATCTTTTAGTTTTTATATTTCCACTGGAAATATTCTTAAAAGACATCAATTAAGCTATTTCATATTAATCTCACAATTCAGTTGATATATTAGGTATGGTATAAATTATAGAGATGGGGGTGGTATATGGTGGTGATTTAATAAAGGTACATTCATCCCAGTTTCATACAAATTTATGATGCAAAGGTCATAAATGTAATGAATCAGTTTTCATTAACCTAGAAGTTCTACTGCAATACAGACATTTTTGGGGGTGGGGGTAGGGGGATGCACTACAGGCGGAAATCTCTGCTTATTTAATCACTGTGAGTTAGATTTGCATTATTAGATATAGAATTTCCTCCCTCTCCCCAAAGTTGAGTAATAAGATGAATTCTTGACAAAACTTGAGGTTCTTGCTAAACCTGCCCAGGACTCCCCAAATAAAACAAAGGCAAAGGAAGTGCCATGTTACCTGATCACTGAAGACTCTTTCCAGGAACTGCTGTCAAGTTAAGGCATTTGCAGTCCTGGCCAAGACGTGCGCCAAAAGCACAGTCATTCATCTCATTCAAGTACTTTGAATGTGACACACACTCCTTAAAAGGGAAAGAATTCCACTAACAAGCCACACTTTTTGTCCTTAAAGATATTATTCTCTGTAACATCCAGAGGAAAATAAACGACTATGCTTCATATCAGACTCTTATAAGCCAAATGAAGGTGTCCAGTAGTTAGACTACAAATACATTTCAAAAATTAATTTATGTAGCTGGAGAACACAGAAGTCCATTTTGTTGGGTTAATCCCCATTGAATACTAGAGTTTACATAGTTACATTTTGTAAATTTAAAAATCCATGTTTTATTGTGAGACCACATAAAGCAGACATCTAAGAAGACATTTTTCTCACGTGGATTTTCTGAGATTCAGGAAGGATCTACACCTATCACTGCATGAGGCACACATCTGGTGTGGAGGGTACTGTGTGCATCGCCACTTTGCCTGCGTCCATACCCCGGAGCTGAGGGCAAACTGGACTGCAGTATTACATCTGCAAAGTCTGTGCCCCTTTTCTGAAAGTGGGAAAGGGAAGAGATGGGGTTTGAGAGGAGATGGTGTAATACCTGGAAGATTCCACTCGTGTGAGAGTTCGGCAGATTATCCAGGAGCTATTATGTTTGAGATGATTTTCACTACTTTACATAATAGTTTATTAATTTACTTTTTCTGAAGTTATGCTTCAGTTACCTTTTTATTACTATGATTGAAAAGACCCACTTTTTGCTACTTTTAAATAAACATTAAAATATTAGAAGACAAATCTGAGGTGTAAGAAGTACAGTATTTGAAACTGTATGTATTTCACTAGATAAAGCATCTCATTTTGTAAGTTGAAGACCATTTGTTCCTGAGGATGGATTACTGACACTTGGAAATACAGTCAATGGTTTAGGGGGTAGATGCCATCAACCCACATTCAGCATTTTCCAAGGATATAGGTCAAATTTTTTACTGATTATGATAAGAAGAGATTAGAAAGCCTGTTTGAACCATTTTATTTAAATAGCTAACAACTCTGTTAGCATGGGAGGAGATTCCTTTAATGTGGTCAGCAAAACCTGGAAAAGAAAAATCTAAATATTTATGTAAAGAAATAAAATAAATTTACTTTTAAGATAAGGGTACAACTCAAAATAAAATCACAGTCCTTATGTCCTTTCAGGTTCTCTAGTCTGCAATCCAATAAAACTCAGTCCATGCATCTTTCTGACTCGTCATTTGGCATGCATGTCACAGATCTGAAAGGTTTTAGTTATTTTTGCAGAAATATGATTAGGATGTAAAAATTCATCATGTAAATACTCTATGAACAAGAAAAAATTCTTTAGACAAGTCATTTTCTGTATATATATATAACTTAGAAAACCAGATTCTATGTAAAATGTTTGAATTTAGAAGGATTTAATACTAACTCTCAACAGGAAAGGAATTATATGTTTTTTCTGTATCTGAGTTAAGATATAAAAACAGTAAGTGAAGGAAACAGTATTTTCTCCAGATTTGGTCCCGAAGAGAGCTACTGGAGTCTAAGATCTGGTAAAATACAAATACTACTTGACTTATCCGAAGGTTTACAGAGGCATTTGTACCTTATGTTAAAATATATTTGTTACTCCTCCGCCACTGGGAGGTAGGAACTGCAGAGGTTAAGTCTTCAACTGGACAGATTTCAAAATGAATTTTTACAACCCAGATGATGGACTGGTATACTTCAGAAATGAATTCATGAGTTTTATAAATGCCTTTCTCTTGCTCACTCTTTTTTTTTTCTTGACTAGCTTACATCATAATGGAGGAATAACATTTTAAAAATTTTGAATAGGCACTTACTGGAATTACAGTTAATCCTGATACAATCTAGATGGGGAAGAATAGATGAAAAATGAAAATTTATCCTTCAAGGTAATAGCTGCAGACATCCAATAAAATCACAGTCCACCCTTCCGGGGACAGACACATGCAAATATGGCCACTCCATAACTTTACATATTTCTAGAACCCAGATTCATTGTTATAAAACTTGACCGTTGGAAACAATATCAGAAGGTTTAAAAATGGCCAATTCAAACAAAGCTACATGGTGACAAATCTAAGTGAAATAAGGAATTGTTAACTGTCAAAGATGCTTGGCTTAGACTGGCTGCAACTTTCTCCCCATCTGTGAAAGAACATGTCATTGTCTCAGCATAACTAAAAAGTGCTCCGTCACAATGGGGTACCCGTGCAAGCCCAGCTAAGCTCAGACATCTTGGACCTCCAAAATCTACTATCCCACAAAGGCCAACAGAATCCTTCAGAACTACGGTGGTCAATGGAGAGCACATTGAAATTATTCTCATCTCACCCTAATGTTTTGTTTTGTTTTTGCTTGGGCCAATAGGTAAGAGCCCGATGTTGGCTGGATTCCGTGCCTTGTATTGGTCACAGGAGGCAAGAAACACTGTATGTTTCTTTTAGCCACTCTATTGGCGGCAGAGTAGTGTCATTCTTCAGAACATACCAGCCTATGCCTCTCTTAGGAGCTAATGATGCTATCTGGATTCAGGAAGTGTCATGGTTAGCATGCTGTTGATTCTCCTTTTCCTATACTTGCTTCTTATATAAAAGCAGATTCCCTAAGAATAAAAAGACTAATGAGCTGAATAACACAGGCTGTGATTATGAGGGTTATCGTCAAAGAACTATGTGGGATGTTTTATGTTTATTTTATGTTTAGGTAAATATTTGTTGATTTTGGTTGTAGTATTTAATGCCTTTGGGGAACACGAAAAATAGGAACCTAGATTCTGTTTCCATATAGCTGAGTTTGTCATGTGTCGTCAACCGCATCAGAAAAGTGGTTGCAAACAGCCAAGGACCAGCATCTACACAGCTCTTTCCACAGAATGCTTTGCTGTTGTAAAATCCCCATGAGTGTTTCCACTTTGGCTGGCAAGTCCCTGGACTGCAATTAGGCAATTTATTTTGATTGGCTGTAGTAACCTATCATTGTCACTAGGGGGAACTCTAACAGAACAATAAATGAGTGTTGTGTATTCTTCAGTAATCTTTAAAAAAAAAAAAACTCTTGTTATATAACTTAATTTAACTAATATTAATGGAATGTAATTGTATGCAATAAGCTATTTGTAAAACAATTTTATGTTTTATGAGCTGTCATTCTGCCCAGCACAGTTAGAAAATGTAGGTGGGGTTTCTATAAATGCCTTACCTCATCACATTTACTACTCTTTATTTGGTAAATATACATAGCTTTAAAATTTTCTTTCCCTGTTTATTCATTTTTTTCTGTTTATTAATTTTATGTGTGTTTATCACTTCCAGGAAATACAGTAAAACCTCATTAATTTGTACTCCTCTTGGAGGTAACGATAATATTAAAAATTATTGGGTAGATTATTTATAATGCTTCATTCCATAGATCACTTGGGAAAAAAAAACATTAAACAGACCAACAAGTTGTGAAAGGCCAAGTTTAGGAAGAAAACTGATTCCAAGTACTTTGTATACTTTGATGGCACAACTTGCACGAAACAATGTGCTAATTATGGGTCATTCTTATCCACCCATTAAAACCAGCCTTTAAGACCTTTCCTTAATAGAATTTTTTCATCTATTAATTTGTGTTTTGAATGCAATTGAAAACAAAACTGTTTAATTTTTGCTAAGTCTGTAATTCAGACATTGTCTTTCTTCGGCCTGGCCTTCTCCCATGCTCCATCTGGGTGGTTGAGGTTTTACTGTAGTGACTCTCTCCTGATGCTGTACTTAAGCAGGAAAGCATTATTGTTCTGCCGAAGAGCCTGTGTGTCTAGTGTTCTCGTGGCTGTTTGCTGAGGGCCGCAGACTTTGGGCATTGAAGGGTTGTGGATTGTTGTTTGATAGCAAAGTATCACCACACAGTATTTCCAAACAGAAAAGATGGACTACCAGGGAGGCAACTTGAAAGGAGAAGCCCAAGGAATAAAAAAAACAACAACACTGTTGATCTAGATCACAAAGTAGATATTTGGTACTTGGCGCACACGTTAGCTCAGTAAAAGTGTCTGAAAAGATATCGGAATGCCAGTAAATATGACAATAGGAAAGTCAGTTTGAGGCATCTGTAAGGCTAATAATTTATATTTTCAATTAACCTCATTGATACATATGGCTTCCCTTTTAAGAACCCTCAGTGGTAGAAATCACAAAACAGTAAAATTATGTTAAACAAACAACAACAACAACAATAAAATAATAAAAAGATGCCCCAAAAACCTAAATTAATTTAAATGATGGAAATGAGACCATTAAGTGTTTTCAGTTTCCATGGCAAACAGGCTACTTGGTAAATGTTTGCAGGCAGAACTGAACAAAAAGTGAAAGGTGTTAGTTCAATGGGGGAAGGTGAGTTGTTACCTAGATTGACCGTCAGTTTCACACGCCCTGCGTCCAGCTCCAGGCGGAGGGTGTCAGCTGAGTCCCTAGAGGTGGTTGCCATGAGAATGCCATACGCACGCTGGGATCGAAACCGTAAGGACACATCCTCGGCCTCTGTGTGCATTACCACGGGGAGCTGGATTTTCATAAACATACTCCCATCATAGCTCAAAACCGTTGCCTCTATAGATGAGAAATGAATATAAAAATTCTTGGTCAGTTTAGTGCATTTATACTTTGAAAAGGAAAAGTGTGACCTATTAAAGTCTTCCACCTAGAACACAAGACTACAAACTCAGCTCATCTTCTTCAGAAATGAGCTTTTTTTTTTTTTAAAGCCGGAAAGAGAAGTCAGAGTAGGGAGAACTTTCTCTATGAACTTTCTCTGCTAAAATCCAGAAGAAGATACTTTCCCTTTGATGCCCATGGCACTTTCTACCGTAGCATTGATCACGTTGGATTATAGACGCTTAGCTGTGTGTCTCTCTTCTTAAGGGCAGAGGCCGACTCTTTTGTGCATTCACCGTGTGCGTCAGGTTGGAAGCACTCGCAATGCCTGTGTACCTATGGCCAGGCCGCTGTCCAGCTCTGCAAAATCAGCCTTGGCTCCGAGAGGATCTCCTCCATTAGAAGAGGATCTTGAAGGTCTTTGCTTGCCTTACAAGTCCACGATTCTAAGAGCAGTTATTTAGAACTTGAAACTGTCTGTGAGCACAACCCTGGTGTCTGAAAAACACTAAGCGATCACCGAAGTGTCAGTGACTCCGTGCCCTGGGAATACTGCGTGAAGATGGGGGTGGGATTGAAGAGCTTGTGAGAGTGGCTGCTACTAAAGCTAAAGGGAATTGCTTTGACAGTGAAGTTGCTTAATATAGTGTTAAACACATAAAAAAGCAAATACTGTTGATGGCAAACTCCCTGCTTGAAGGAGTCGCCAGCACTGAATGCTAACCAGCAGGTGGCAGAGCGCTGCCAAACCAGCGCGGGCCGCTGCTTTCCACGGGTTCGAACCACAGAGGATCATCTAACAAAGGGAAAACTACCTAGACTTAAAATAAACTAGAACATTCTCATTATCTTGCCTGCATGGCACAGCAATTAAATTTACCAATGCAACTGTGTTTATTATTAAGACTGTAGTTCTAGAGTTGCGGTTTATTTTTCAAGAAGTCAGAGAGGTCAAGTATTCCTTCTAACATACTTTAGTCACTAATTGTTGTCGTCATGAGACTGAATGAAGATCCAGAGCCAATAAGCACTGAAGGCTCCGGGGTCTCTGCCGGGCACTCTTTTCTGTCTTCCTCAGGACAAAGGACCTCTCTGAACTCACAAGCTCACTGCCCCTAATGTTTGTTAACAGCCCTGACTTTTTCTTGAGCTCCATCCCCCTTCATTGACCCATTGCCTGCTGAACATCTCCAAACTGAATATGATAGGTTCCTTACTAACCTCTTTATTCACTCTCCCCAAACATGAACACACACATGTTCCTTCTCTGATGTCCTCCATCTCGGTGAATGACATAACCCCAGTCCTTCACCTTTCTGGTTTCTCTCTTACCCTCTGCCATGTCCAATCTATCTGCAAGTCTGCAATTCTTAAAGGCACGGATTCCAATCCGCTTCCGAATCGATTGCTTCTTACCCTGACCTCTAAAGTACCTCAGACTCTGCCCCCTCTCACCTGATCACTACGAGGGCTCCCTCCAGTCTCCCTCACTACCCTTTCTCACTGCACACAGCAGCCAGGCTGAACTTGTAAAGAAGTAAATCAGATCCTACACGTTATTGCTTGAACAACCCACACCTTCCCCACCCAAGCCAACAGATTTCCACTGCAATGAGAATGCAATCTGCACTCCTTTTTATTTTATTTTATTTATTCATTTATTCATGTTGCACTCCTTTTTAAACCTTTTTGTGTGAGTTGCCCCAGTCTGTCTCTCTGACCTCAGCTTATAGAATCCCCCCCTACCCACCCCCCAGTTGAGTAAACTCCAGACACACAGATTTCATCTCGCAAGTATCTGCCCTCTGTCTGAGACGGTTTCACCCCAGACCTTTATATTCTCGTCCCATCAGCATTCAGGTCTCTGGGCAAATGTCACTTCAGAGAGGTATGCTGCAAGCACCCTCTCGTCCCCTCTCCAGTTATTCTATATCTGTTTACCGTTTACTTTTTAAACTGTCATTTCTGTTTTGTTTGTATAGAATTATCTGCCTTCGCCTTTAAAATCTAAGTGTCTCAGTGTCATGAGGACAGAGGTGGATACTCCCCGTCATTGCTCTGTCGGTAGCTGAGTACCCCAAAGTGCCAGGCACACAGCAGAGTCTCCACAGATGTTTACTGCAGTAATGACTGCACTAGTACTGAGATACATAAAAAAAAAAACTTCCTTCATTTTGGTTATCAAGTGAACATACATGCTCACCACAGAAATTAAGAATTGATTCTGCCTGCTGTAAGTGGAATCTAACTTTGGTAACAAATATGAGCAAAATATTTGTTAAAGTCTAGATTGAAGTCCATAATTGAGCTGCGAAAGATAGATTAGGAAAGGGGTCTGTTTCTCATAATAGGGGTCCCCTGGCTAGGCACTGACCTAGGCACCGAGAAAATAAAACAATCCTCTTAAAATACAGTGTTTCTACATCATACCACATGTTTCTCCAATTAGATAAGAAGTTTCCCAAATAGATGCACTATCACAAAAGACAGAGTTCAGCCCGGCCGGTGTGGCTCAGTGATTGAGCATCCTCCCATGCACCAAGAGGTCGCCGGTTCGATTCCTGGTCAGGGCACATGCCCAGGTCATGGGCCAAATCCCCAGTGAGGGGCATGCAGGAGGCGGCCAACTGATGTTCTCTCTCATCAATGTTTCAATCTCTCTCTCCCTCTCCCTCCCTCTCTCTCTAATATCAATAAAGAAAAAAAAATCTTAAAAGACAGAGTTCAATGTAGAAATCTAGTAGAAGTTGCTTAAGAAATAATTAAAACATGATTGCAAAGTTATAGTGAACACTTAAGAAAAGTAGTGTTTCTAGTATAATATTTGAAGAAATTTGATCTTTACTATTTCTTATTCTGAACTACAGCCAATCATTTTCCATATCTATACAACAATACATGAATAAAAATTTAAAAGCCATTATCAATTGTTCAGTCACTGTGGTATCATAAAGATACAAATACTAAAATATTTTTAGTTTTCTCCTATTAGTCTGTAAATTGGTCTCAATTACTCAATGATCATGTTTTTAAAATGATCTCATATTCTTTTATAAAATGTATCTTGATTTGATTAAGAGCTAAGTAGGGGAACATCTTTTTAGAAACACAGAGGTCTGACCATGGGTCATAAATTGAGTATGAAATACAATCCAAAGTAGAAAAATATTTAGAATCATTGGCCTTTTACAGTCTCCAAAAAGCTGCAGGAATGAAATAACATAGTAAAATAACAAAACTTGAGAGCCCCTGATTGCCATTTTAAACAATTCTCAATGTGAAGATAACTTGTTGATAAACGACAAATGAATGCCTAAATGACTTCTCATAATTAGACTTGATTTTTAATTAGACAAGAAATGGAAAATGCACAAGGTTGTCGTGTAGAGTTGCCAAATAAATGGTAAACAACATTCTGACATTTGAAGGTTAGGCTATTTGGCAGCATCTTTTAACATCAGGAAAATTATTTTATCACTTTTACCACAAAAGAGTCCTGTAAAAGGCTAATTCCAATGCAGTACTTCCCAGTGGGGGAGAAGAAGTTTCCACTTTGTCTCCTGTATCTCCTTCTCCCTTGCCATTAAGTTTGATAGATTTGCTCTTCTGTGTTATTCCTTCTTGCAGTTTAAAGTGTACACCTGTGCTCAGTTTTGCCGAAAGGCAGTCACATACTGTGATCAACGACAAAAATCAGACAGGAAGCCAAATTATGTTGCTCTGACATCTGTCCCTCCATCTGTTAGTTTCAACAAACAAGTATAAAGTAGGACTCTGATCTTACCATATACCTATAACCAAATATAATTTCTGTATGAGCAAGTCTCTACAAATTCTCAGTTTTATTAAAAATAAAGCCGAAAGGATGGTGCTGCATTTAAATAATATTGACATTCTTTATATATTGCTCCTCCCTATGGGAGCAATACACATAAAACAAAAGACTACTTTCTGACGTCAGCAAATGCTCTGTCCTTTCTTATAAACGCCTTTGCTTACTTGATGCAGAAGGCAGATTTCCGATAATGAGATTGCAACGTCCCCACGCTGCGTTGTCCATGGACTTGAACATACTTTATAATTACTTTGAATAATTATCTTTATAAATTAGCAATTATTGCTTCATAATAGTAAAATGGAGATTTTTCCAGTGCCTTTATTTATTTATTTTTCACTTCAAGAGCTGTCAGTCAACTCTTATGTGGTCAACAATCTTATGCGATTAGACTATGACTAGAGAAAAGCCCCTGTCTTTTAAGTCGGAAACCCTGAGGGTTGGGCGTGATCTTGTGTTGACTGAACTAGGGCAGAGCTGGGGACTGGACAGAAGCCAGACTTCGTGGTATCGAGCATGAGAGCATCCCACATCACCCTGTTCTCAGGAGATGCCATCATGTGAGCGAGCGAGCAAATTAATTCTGCAAAGCAAAGACGACTCACAATATGCTGGGTGGTCCAGAAACAAAAAACACACAAAAATGGCCATTTCCTCCTCATCACACCACCAACCTGGAGACAAAGAAATCTGTACAAATTTCCAGCCACCTGTCGGATAAAAATGTGTGCTGGATCCCAGTGATGAAGTTTGCTATTAAATTGTCATTTGCAAATCTGCATATGCTTGCCGCCCTCCTTCTAATGATTGCAATATATAAATACTCCCTTTCCCTCATTCTGGCTCAGGAAGAGCTACAATTTCTATTTTTATTTCCACCATATGTAGTAGCAGAACATTGCCACCGGGTGGTACACCATGCATATTTAACTGAAGGCTTCTGTAATTCATGGGACAGTTTCGTTATATCCTTTCCTGGCTTCACTTAAGAAAGAGGCATCAGAACATCAGACAGCTCTCTGAGTGATTAAAATAAGAACAAAATCTTAAATCATACAGGTCTGCTGATCTCACATTATGACTCAATGTTTTTGTTTTGTTTGTTTTTTATTCTCACGCAAGAATATTTTTCTATTTATCTTCAGACAGAGTGGGAGGGAGGGAGAGAGGGAGAAACCTCGATGTGAGAGGAACACATTGACTGGTTGCCTCCTGGAGGACCGGGATGAATCGCCACTGAGGTACGCGGCCAGAATCGAACCCGTGACTCACTGGTCTGAGGGTGGATGCTCCAACCACTGAGCCAGACCCGCCAGGGCTCACATTATGACTCATTGTCACGCATCTTCTGAGCTTCATCATTTTGTTGTTGTGATTGATGGCCCCTTTTGGTAATTTCTAAAAACCAAACTACAAACTACACAAACAAACTGGGATTAAAAAGGAAAATGAGAGGAGAACATTTACAGAGATTATATGCACCTTAAAAATGAAAGCTGCGCAAAAATAGCTAACCTCTAATGACAATTCACAGCAACTGCAGTCAGGCATGAGGACAGTGAATGAATCTCTGTGACCAAAATATTTACCCATCTACTGACCTATCGAACTGTATTAAAGAACAGTGATAGTAATTGGATAGGTAGCTTAAGATCAGGATTAGATTATTAAGATATCCTTATTAATTTTCCTGTTGATTAATAATAAGAGCTAATAGAGCTTTTATTAATAATAATGTTAATAATAGAGCTGATAAGACGATGAATATCCTTATTAAGATCAAGAACCAAAGTCACGTTTCAACTTTGGGTTGTAAAAACCACCACTTTTTCTCTAGAAAGTGCTAACTTAAATGTATTAAACTACTGTAGAAATGTAGGGGAGAAAAAGACTCAATATTTATGGCTGAAAAAATAGATGCCAGTGACTTTGAGGTTAACGGCTAGCAGAGCGATGCTATGTAGAGTGTGACAAGACAATGGAAAAACTCATCAATATTTTTTCATATCGATTTTTTTTGTTCCATTGTGGAAAATGAGTGGCAATGGGTGTAGCAACTGAAGCATTTATCTGAAACTCTTAGGTCGATAGGGCATGCTTAGACCCATTGGTTCTGCTATTTCTTCCTTTCGTCTGGTCTGCAGGTGAGCTGGGACCGCTCCCACCCTCCACTCTTCCTTTAAGCTTATTCTTCTCCTTCTAAAGGAAAAGAAAAAGAAAAAAAAAAGTGTAGCGTTGCCTTCCGATAGAGAAGATGGAGGTACCTTCTCGGAGCTTCAGCAGGCACACGAAGCTCCATACCAAAGAGGTAACGAGTCTTCTGTGACTGGTTAGGTCCGAGGCAAAGGCAAAGGTAAGCAAGTGTCTTTGAAATCGGGGTGCGCTTCTGAAAATGCTGGTGTAGCCTGGGTGATGTAAAGTCAGCTTACTTTTCAAGTTTCAAACTCGGGTAAGTTGACTGAAGTGAAATGAGCAGGCTAAACCCCGTCTCACTCCCAGCTTAGCCTGCTTCGAATACTCCTTTTTATTTTATTTTTTATTCTTTTGGCATAGATATTAGCACTGGATGCCGTAAATATGTCTACCTCATGCCTTCTTTACCTTCCAATATCCTGAAATTTAAAAACTGGGTGAAAGAGAAAGCAGCTATTGCCTAATATACATCTTAGGCTCATACCCTAGAGGATACAGAAGATCCAAATATTTATTCCTGCAACACACTTAAAAAGCTGTGGCTTCCCAGAACCAGGCCCTTTGAAAATCACTAAGGACTCGTCAGCAACATGTCAGGTGTGGCCGCTCAGCTTGCGGGGAGCTTACTTCAGCAGAGCATACGTTATGTTTCCACGGTCAATTTAAAGCTTAAGGTCAATATTTAATACACTTTTCATCCCAGGGGAATCAGCTGCTTGATTTTTGGAATCCTACCTCTCTCGCAGGACCTGCCAAGGTAGCCTGTTCCGGAACAATCGCAGACATATCGGTTCCACCCATCCCTGCACATGCCATTGTTTTTGCAAGGGTTGCTAAGGCACGGTTTTGCTGTTTCCCTGGAGCAGGAGGGCTTCACTCCAGCGGTGCTTTGAACTTCAGCCATTTGCCGGATGTCTTTGCTCTGGCCGTCGATGAATAAATCTCGGATGCATCCCACGTAGCCATAGTTGAGCAGAGCAGTCCACACCTCAGTGGGGAAGACGAGGCCCGCTTTATTTTCGGGCAAGCCCCCCAGGTACAGCTCGTCATCCAGGTCCAGGATCTCACTCTCGCCAGGAGCAGTGTAGGGTGTGCGCAGTGTGTTCACAGAAATGGTACCTGTTGCAAAGCGAGAGACACACAGATCTTTACAGAGTGCACCGGGTTCTGTATATCACCCTTTCCTTCTTTCAGTGGCTTACGGGGGAACTCCTTGAGGGCACTTTTTCTTTCTTTCTTTTTCTTCCTATTCCTAGTGTCATGTACTTCTCAGTGGAATGAACAGAAACCTGGGGAGTTAAGTGCAGACTGCACTTAACTTAGAAATAAGGCAGACTGCAACTAAAATGATTCTACAGGCATGCCTCGTTTTATCGCACTTTGCTTTATTGCATGTCACAGACGTTTCGCTTTTTACAAAATAAAGGCAATTCCCCACACTAGTAAATAGAGCATGCCTTGCTTTATTGCGGCACTTCATGGTGGTGGTCTGGAATCAAACCCGCAATATCTCTCAGTTATGCCTGTATTTGACTTTGGGAATAAAATCCAAAGTGCACAGCCACCAAAGAGTGTCTGTCAGCCTTTAACAGTTTAACCAAGAAAGGAAGGAAGGGAGGAAATAAAGAAGGAAGGAAAGAGAAATTGGTATTCTATATCACTCTCTACTAGTCAAGAAAGAAAGAGCAAGCCAGAGAAAGGAGAAATTGCCATTCTATACCACTCTGGAATAAAGTCAGACTCCCTCTGGTTAATACTCATTCTCAAAGCTGGTATGCATCTGTGAACTAAGAACAGGTTATGTGCACCCACCTTAAACTGATTTGATTGCCTTTAATGAATACAATAGTTTGACAGATCTTCTATGTCAAAACCCGACTTCATCACTCTTAACCTTGTGAATCCATAAATTTACTGCTAAGGTCTCGGTTTACTCATTCCTACTATGGGCATAATAATATGACCTAACTCATAAGGTTGCTCTGAGTTAAATAGAATAAGACTAGTAAAGTATCTAGCTTATAATAAGCACTGAATAAATTCTGTGTGTCATGAACTCAAAACCTGGGTATGGGACCTGACCAGGAATTGAACCTGTGACCTTTGGGTGTCTGGGACAGTGCTCCAAACAACTAAGTCATGTCCGCTAAGGCTACTTAGTTTTTAAATAAAGTTTATTTTAGTGTCTATATAAATCTAATACATGACATGATTTTTTTAAGACAGAAAATTAAGAAAGAAGGAATTACCCATTCATAATCCAATTACTTCAAAGCCCCCGTTTTTAATATTATGGTTCTTTTATCTCATTTTACTATCTATAGTATGAAAATTATATGTTTTGCATTTCGCATTATACACTATAATTAATGCTCCATTCTGCTTTTATCACTTATATTATGCCTTTTTACTGACTTTGAATTTGTTAATAGACTGAATTTGACAAGCAAATTTTTAAGCTTATGATTCTCCTCTGCAATAAGCGGTGAATCAGAATTACAGATACATAAAATTGATAATTAACTAAAAATTATTATAAGCAGTAACTTCAAACATGCATTCAAAAAGGAACCTTAGTGACCATCTAGCCAATGCCTTTATTTTGAATAAGAGCCACATTGAGGCCTACTGAATCTATTATTTGGCCAAACTTGCCAGCTAGTTAGCTGCAAAGCCAGAGCATGAGAATGGTCTCCTCTGGCCAGGCAGAAGGACCCCACATCACAGCGCCCTTCCCACCCTTCCTCCCCGTCACTTCAACCTCTGCGGTAATTCAAAACTCGACACCAAACTGACTTATTCTAAATCTCGCCTTCACTTCACGTTTCTTCTCACCTTGTCAGCTCATCTTTTGAAGTGGAATAGCCAAGAAAAATAGGATGGGGAAAAAAAGGTGGAAACTAACAGGTTTAAATAGCAGATCAAATCGTAACGTTGATTTCCACTTTTATAACCAAGAACTCTTTTCAACAGTCTGTCCCCTTTTATGTATACGTTTATATAAAATGTGAATGTATTATTTATGCTCATAAATATTCTTAAATATATGGTGGGCAAAAGTAGGTTCACAGTTTTTCAGTAGAAGACAATACAATCACTAGTAAACAATAATACAAGAATAAATTGTTTCACATACAGCTGTAACCCTATGTTGGCCCCACCCTGCATTATCTCGTCTGTTTATCACTTTTGTTTTGCCTTGTCATATGTCAGGAAACAACTAGGTTTAGATGTTAATACACAGTGATTTCTTTTTCTTTTTTTTTTGGTACGTGCCCTTAGCGGGAACCAAACCAGGTACTGAGCCACACCGGCCAGGGCAATACATAGTGTGATTTCCACAATCAAATTATAGAACTCCTATACACAAATATACTTCGCTTTTCGCTGAAATTTTATTTCTTGAGCTTTTCGCTGAAATTTTATTTCTTTAAAAGTAAAATAACACAGCAGGGCACTTTGGATTCTTAATAATGAGGTGTGAAGCACTGATCCAAATAAGTCCCCAAATGCAATGACCATCTTCAAATTTTACAGCTCAAACATAGCAATGCTCACATAAAATATCTGTTTAATTTGCCATAAACTTCACTGTAATTTATAGAAGATAGAATATATGAAACAGTCAAGCAGTTCCAAAGAGAACATATGAATATTTGTAGTTACTAGAAAAAATTAGTATAATGTACCCAGAATTTTGTTTCCTCTTAAAAATTTATTTACATGTGTTCATACCTCAGTCTTTGGAAAATTCTCATTTTCTATTGATAAATACAGCTGTGGGAACTACTCAATTGTCTTTAACTATCGATGAATAAGGTTTAAATATTCATTTTGTTTTCTTGGTAACTGCTGTCTTTATAACTCAATTATAATAAAATGGGTGCTTTGGAACATTAATATTGAAATTTCACCATACTCCTATGTATGTGTTAAATTGGCTTAAATGAATTATGTGATTCTGTAATGAATCTTTTGCTTAGGTGAAAATATTCTTTGATTCATCTCAATAATAAGACTATTCAGGAATTTAGGATTTAAATCTCTTTATCAGAAATATGTGTATTTTAGGATTTTTGCACACATGTAGGCTAAAATATAAATATTTATTTGACTCAGTAGTAAAATTTAGTTATTATTTCAAATAAAGTTGTTATTCTGTGAATCTTCAGAATAAAAAATAATTGTTTCCATGTCTACTTAAATTAGCTTTACACTTTCCCTTTCTTTGGCCATGTTTTTACAATGATTTTCTTTTAAAATATAAGTGCTTGTGGATTGACAAAGCATATAAAAAGAACAGTTGATTTTCAGTCATGGTTTCATTCTCTTATGTGTGTGTGCAGAATATTCCCATGAATGATATCTGATACCTGCACATGTCAGACGTGGCTCCTTACCTAGCATCCAGGGCTAAGTTAAAGCGTCAGTTCCCCTTGGATTGTGTTTGGGTTGAAAGTTGGGTTATATCCATTTTTCTTTCTTTCCCATCTTTCCTTGCTTCTTCTTCCCATGAAAATTCTAAAACTGTCTCACAAAGGAATAGTAAAGAGCTATGGAAAGAACATCCTTCTCCTTATGATAATAACTTCTCAACCTGGTGCTAAAAATTAATTAATGGGTCATGTCTAGCATTTGTATTAATGAATTATATAGTAAAGAGAAAATATCAGATTGCCTCAGTGGTTGCAGAGTGAAATATTTTTTTTATTAAACTTTTGTATCAGCGCGTGTGTGTCTGCATGTGTAAGCATGTGTGCGTGTGCAAACTGGGCTATATGTAAACTATATGAAAACTGTGGATTAACGTTAAGTGCTGTGGTCAGAAAACTCTAGTCTAACGACAAAGTTAGAGTGAATATCTTCCTCTGGCCACAACAAAGACATGCAAGAAAACGTCTCTGAACTTTCCTAAAACACTTTGTTCAAACAGGCTCTAAGACACTATAAACACAAATCCAGAGACCCAGTCACTCACTCATTCTTACTGTCAGATTGTTCATGGATGACTGTCTGCGATACCTAGCAGTGGTTTTGCCCCTGAGAGTGTAGACACATTGAAAATGGAAACAACAAGGTGTACTGAGCTACAGATCATGTGGAGGAGTCAGGGGGTGAGTGTTACACCAGCCACTGCGCTCCTTATTTCGGGCATCCTTCAAGCATTCTCTGCGTCAGACTTAAAACATCATGAATAAAGACAATTCGGTTTCTCCAGGTGTTTCTTTTTCTTTCCTGAGTGAAAGCAAGCTTTTTCCATGAATAAAAAGACATATGGAAAAAGTTACGTTTTTAAAAATATAGTCTCACTCTTGTAAAACTTTGTTATTGTTCACTTGCTTTGTGTTTCTTAATTCTCTCTCTGAATGTTACATATTAATTTCCAGTGAGCCTCTTGAACTAAAAACACACAAGTCCTATGTTCATTGCACACACCCTTTGTTTTCCATGTTGTTGTTTTTTAATGTCCACCTTTTTTTTGTCCTTAATATGTACTCTGTCTCATCATTTTCTAACTTAACATTAGCTGCTGCAGAGGACAGGGGCCACCTATCAACCCAATTCTTAAGTCATTTTGGACAGTTAAAAACACAAGCAATGAAACTCTACTTAGAAAAGTGTCATCATTCACTTTCAAAATTATATATTTCATTTCCCCAGAATGCTATGTTTACATTTTTCTAAGTAGGATCGTATGCTACCTACATGCCGCTAAGGGAGTCTGTCTTCCTCTAGATATTAGCACACATGTGAGCAGTGAAAATGAGTACTTTGTCGGTTTCTCTTTTGCTGCCTCCTTCTGACATCCCTATTCTTCTCCCGTCTTTGCAAGGCCAGAAGAGCAACATCTCTGAGCGTTTCTTCTTCTCTTCTTTCTGTGGAAGTCTAGAGAGACAAGTGTCCTCTCAGTGACTTGGCCGCCTCCACAGTCTGTCAGCGGCCTCCAATCCCTTCTCCCTCACAAAGACAGATCCCCTTACACTGCCCACGCTGAGGAGTGCCCCTTCTGCTGGGCTTTGGAATGCTCCTGGGCACCATACAGAGACCGCAGTCCTGTGTCCTTAATTAGACGCCTGTTTCACATTCATCACACACCATGTTTTCATTTGGGGTGGGTC